AGCTATTTGGCCCCTGTGTGAGACCGGAAGGTGGACTAGGTGAACTCTCGCTGGTCTGATCCAGCAGGACTCCTCTGATGTTCTGATGACTAAGGAACGGGGAGACTTCAGTTCTTGTGCTTCTAAGGTCTGGTCATGCACTGGGGAGACATGATGCTGAGTGTGCTGGCGTTCAGTCCATGCCCACTGTTAGATTTAGCCCAAAGTGGGCTTTAGCAATGGGGCCAGCTGACGGTGGAGGTGGGAGAATGGACTTCCCTTGGGGGCTTTCAAGAGGGCCTGGGGAGACATCTTTATTTGGACAGAAACACTCTCACACAGCAACAACACGTAGGACTGCCATCGTAATTGGAGACTAAATTAAACTTTATTACATTAAAATCACCTAACTCTTTAATAATGTATTATCATTAAACACATTGCAGCATAATAATTGCAAAAAACAATTCTTGACAATGTTGCGTGTCTACTGTAGGAATTGTCATTATCTAAAGCTGTAAATTGCTGACATAAAATTATTTTCATATTGCGCTTTTAGAGTAAAACCTTGTTTTTTATGTCACTCAATCCTAAAGGGGGGGGAATTCCAGTTCTCCCCCTGCCCCCCAAGTGCCCCCCTATTTTTCCACTGGGAAGATTTTTTTAAAGAAACCCTGACTTTTTCATGCTGTGGGTGTGGAAAATCTTGCTTTAAGAAGCATTTCACTCACTCTAAAAGAGCAAAACATTTCGTGAGAGGTTTTCTTTTTTCAGTGCTTTCCCCCAATTTTTAATTATTTTCCATCCCCCCACCCCTTGCTACTCAGGAGCCGATCCTGTTATATTCAGTGCGGTATTCATAGAGCTCTTAAAACGTAGCAGAGCCAAGCCCACTGGAAAGCGTGCGGAACCCTACCTGTGTCGGACCTGCAGAAAACGTTTCTGACCTGCTCCTTCTCCACTTGTTTTCCCGGACCTGTAGCCGTTGCATAAGAAAAATTAAGCATTGTTAATAGAAAATCAATAAAAAATCCCCTTCGGGGGGGCCAAAAAAAGAAAAAGAAAGAAACATTAAGCATTGTTAGTGAATGATTATGGCCGTGGGTTGGAAGTGCCTCCCTCCTTGACTTTTCCCTTATGCCACGTTCCTTACACCAATTCAGAGTTGTTAGAAAGGAAACGGGTCTCCTTGTTTGCCCAAGGTCAATAAAGCAACAGTGGCTCCTCCAGAACATTTCAGAAACGATAACTAGGAGCCAGTTTGGTGTCGTGGTGAAGTGCGCGGACTCTGATCTGGGAGAACCGGGTTTGATTCCCCCACTCCTCCACTCGCACCTGCTGGATGACCTTGGGCAAGCCATAGTTCTGTCAGAGCTTTTCTCTCAAGAGCAGTTTCTGTCAGAGCTCTCTCAGCCCCACCTCCCTCACAGGGTGTCTGTTGTGGGGAGGGGAAGGGAAAGGAGTTTGTAAGCCGCTCTGAGACTCCCTTGGGTAGTGAAGGGCGGGGTATAAAACCAATCTCCTCTTCTCTTCTCAGTTTGGTGTGGTTAAGTGTGCGGACTCTAATCTGGGAGAACCAGGTTTGATTCCCCACTCCTCCACTTGCAGCTGCTGGATGACCTTGGCCAAGCCATAGTTCTGTCAGAGCCGTTCTCTCAAGAGCAGTTTCTGTCAGAGCTCTCTCAGCCCCTCCTACCTCACAGGGTGTCTGTTGTGGGGAGGGGAAGGGAAAGGAGTTTGTAAGCCTCTCTGAGACACCTTTGGGTAGTGAAGGGCGGGGTATGAATCCAGTCTCTTCTTCTCTTCTCAGTTTGGTGTCGTGGTTAAGTGTGTGGACTCTAATCTGGGAGAACCGGGTTTGATTCCCCCCTCCTCCACTTGCACCTGCTGATGGGACCTTGGGTCAGTCACAAGCTCTGGCACAGCTGTCCTTGATAAAGAGCAGTTTCTGTCAGAGCTCTCTCAGCCCCACCCACCTCACAGGGTGTCTGTTGTGGGGAAGGGAAAGGAAAGGACTTTGTAAGCTGCTCTGAGGCTCCGAGTGAAGGGCGGGGTATAAATCCAATCTCCTCCTCCTCCTCCTCTTCTTCTTCTTCTTCTCCTCCTCCTCCTCCTCAGTTTCCAGTTTGAAACTTTGCCCTAAACTTGGGCACAGGTCCATTTGAGGTGCAGTATGGAGGAATCTGGTTGCTGCTTTTCTCTCAAAGACGATCACTTTCCAATGGGAAGAGAGTCGGTCCAAGCCCTGAAATGATTGATGTCCAGTAGATCCACGTGCAGTTGGACCTGGCTCCAGGAGGCTTGAATCCAAGCCTCCCCTCAGCCAAGCCACCCAACGCACGCAATTCGGCAGACCTTGTTTCCCTCCCTCGGCTTTGGGGATAACGGCAACCCCACCTTCTGGTGGTGAGCGCAGTCCAGATTGAATACAGACTGCAAAGCATCTGTCCGATGGTCGTGAGCGATCCCTGAATAAGGATCTAAAAACCCGCACAACGGGACCCACCCCAGGAGAGCTGCAGGTTTGCAGGAAAACATGAAAAGGCGTTTTGAGGAATGGGGGTTAACTCCCCCCCCCCAGCAGTAAGCAAAGCTTGCCTGTGTCAGAGAAACCTGAAACGGCACCCCAAAGCCAGCGCTACAAACAGAGATTTCTCATAAATTGTCATGGCTGGTCCTTTAGGTCCCCGCGTGTGATGTTCTATTGTCCAGGGGAG